GAAACATGGAAAAGAAAATGGAAACTGCCATTTCAGAACTGCATCGCATTGTTTCAAGGCTCAGGGTAAGATAAAGGTGATAAAGGGGACCAGGAAGCATCTAATTAAGCCAAAGCAGCTAAACATGTGAATTCTAAGGAAGTCAAATGCCGAAAGCTAAATGCTCTCCAGGGTTCAGAGCTTTATGTGGCTTAAAGGGTTTGGGAATAGGTTAAGATGGCCTCCAACCTTTCTGGGTCAGTTTATAGTCCCCTTAAGTAGATAGAATATGGGGTATATGGGGATCTTATTATAATTTACCCAAAGCCAGATTCTACCTACTTAAGGGGGACTATATGTTGTAGGGGTGCCGCAAACAAGGGTTTGAACAGCTGGAGGTTATACAATGGGACTCTTCTTCTTGACAAACCCCATGTCTCACTCTGGTCAGGTGCGGGAACACCAACATCTACATATTCTGGGAAACGACCATATGCAGTCAGGGCCAATACTGCCGAGAGATGCAGTGGAATACACGTGCAATCAATCGTCCTTTTAGGGTAGCAAGGCTCCGGCAGTCTCCATCGCAGAAGTTGCAGTTGATACCTGCCAGGAAGTCTTGTACTTGAGGTTTCATGGGTAGCTACACATGGGTTCATTCGTCAGATACGTACAAATCATCCGGATATCTAAACTCCACTTAGACCTATCTATGAGGCTTTCAGTAAGCATTTCCAAACTGCTCCCTTATCCATCACGTCTGTGTTCGGTCTCATGCATTCCACCTTCGTAGATTCTGACCTCAAATGGCTGGCGTGATTATTTATGTAGGTCCCTCATTTTCGCGAACTGGCAGAGTTCCTGAATCCTGAAGACTAACCCCCAATCCTTTTCCCGCTCTTATACAGGAACCACGAACTTCTGGAAGCTCCAACTTGAGGCAAGAAGCATCTTCCGTCCACGCAGAAGCCGCTGCCAGCAGTCAAGACTCAGCAGCAAATGCAGGCAAAAGAGGGCCCACAGCGTCGCTATCGATGATCGTTGCTTCTGAAGGTGCGACCATGCGTGTATTGCCAATATGTTGCAGTTCTGATGGTCACTGCGCATGCTACGAATGTGGCATCAATACAGCAGCACGGCTCGTGTGCGACTACCCTCATGAATCTTCATGTCACCTTAGGTTGGGGTTACTTGTTTAGCGATGGGGCCGCCATCGCTTGTTCGAATACCCTGCTTAATGCTGATTGTGCTCCTTCATACCGAAACTTTTCGGTTTCCAAAAAATTGACTGCCGCAAATTTCAGTGGTTTCAATTTGAGCTTGCCTTAGCAGGCTTGCTTCTTGAGGTCGGTAATCATGCGTTTTCCGGGGTTGCTGAGGCAAAGCTTAGAATCTAAAGGCAAGGAACAAGACCTACAACATCCCAAAACGAGTTTTGACAATACCAGACTCCACTGCATCCTGGTACCTGCAACACTATGATACTCCAGAAGTATATTACTATGCATGCTGCTTGGGGTCCATGGTCGAACATCCATTTTCAGGCAAGAGCTAGCTGTGCTATGGTAGTACAGCAAGATGGTTTTGTTGTGGTATCATGGTATCAGTTTAGTATAGTGGATACGGCAATCTGGTAGAGTGCTAACCTGCTACTGTATGATTGTGCATGCGTTTGGTTCCAAGGTTTATTTAGAATCCAAGTAGTTAGATTACCAAACATTCGTCTTATCTAAACTGTTACAACTAACTATAAGAGACATTAAGAGACCATGAGATATTGTCTGGTGATAAGTCATGTGTTTCCCTACCACCTGAGCTACTTCTTTCTTGCAATTGCATTGGACAAGACAGCGCTAACAGATGTTAGTATTCATCTGGTGGGATCGGGAAACCTCCTTGGCGAACATGTTTGTGCACCTGAAAAGTCGTATTTTCCATGAATATTGTTGTTTGTAGCAGCCTAGCTTATCTTGACTTTGGCTTAGTCAATTCCAGGTTCCGAGATAACGCCCCAATTCCACAGCTTCCAGCGCATGACTACTCCAGACAATCAAAGGCTTCACGGCATGTCCGTGACGATGGTGCGGCAACTTGCTCAGCAGGGGCGGCAGCCCTATGATAGAGCTGGAGCGCAACAAGCTTGCAAGCATTACATTCAATACGACAGAATTACTAGGTAAATTCTTTGTTTGCTATTGCTTGCACATGATGAACGACGAGAATTGCTGTTCCTAACACTTCTTCTCATTCCAATTGCGACGAAGATTACTACTCCAACACCGACTACTCTACAACTCACTTTACTATCACATGCGCCCTTCCTACTTATACTTTCGTTTCATGAGAATGTCACGGCTATGCCCACACCGCTGCAGTTGCTGCAAACGGTCAATGCCCCCCTAAACATGCCATCGATGGGCATCTCCCAAAAAATGCTGCTCGCAAAACATGGCAAGCCAACTAAACATGTTCTCATTTGCAATGAGACATTCCCAGACAACCAAAAATCTCGAGAAGCCCCAAGTTTCCTCCGAGTGGCCAGTCACCGTTCCCTGGACGACCACGGGCAGTAGCAATATCCTGGACCTGGACAGCAAAGGCAGACGCATGCTGCCATTCTGCCGTTAAACGGACGAGTGATAAGAATATTCAGAAGACTACCAAGAGCAATCCTTACGATGTTTGGTACTTGATTTGGTTCTCACTGTCGCGCTTTGTCGTATCAGAACTGCACTACAACGAGGCGTCAGCAAAACAGCAGCGGCGACAAACACCTAATCCCACAAGGTCTGTGGCAGGGACCATTTTGCAGACATCCGAGGCACGGTGACGAAACAGCGCACCAAGCCTATCCCAAGAACTACACGCGTGGTTTTGGGTTAAGCTGCCAAAGGCTTCTGTAGAATATGGCTGGTCTGTCGAAGTGTGTCTGGTGTTGTACTTCAGGCTGTGTCAAACTTGCGCAGTATCTGTGCTTTGTGCGGCAATGCGCACAAATGATTGCAAGCGGGCGCGCGGAGCAGTATCAAGCAATCATTCTGTCTGACGATGCATCCCTGTGCAGAATCGACCTGTCAAAACATCGGAACAGTTCGGGTGCGAATACCAAAACCTAGGCAAATGTCACGTAATGAACAACATCATCAACCCTGCTTCCTAGACCAAAGATGCGGTGAAAAATGCATAACAATACCAACACATGATGACAGCAATCACAACCAAAATAGACTGTAGCTCCAGCTCTCATATCACCTATGATAACTACGATAGCATGACAACAAACAAAACCAAAATAGTCAGAAGACGTAAATTGTCACACCATTGAGGCTCGAGCTCTCATATCGCCTAAAAGTATGACCTGTGATATCAGACACCGCAACAACGCGTGCACATTTTGCTTGGCTTGTTCAACTCCATGGGCAAGTGAGTCTTTCCTTTCCTGTAGAAAGGGAACTCAAGCTCCGGTTAACATAAGTAATGCCCACAGCTTCAACTTAGATGCTCTCCCAGCTTCAAAGCTATAGCCCCTTGACAACCACCATCCTTCTAAAGGTGACCCGGGCAATGCAAAACACAGTTTCATGTTGTGCAGAACCCTGCGGCGTGAGACAGATGACCACAACATTGTACATAAAATGCAGGACGAATTCCAAACCCGAACCTTTTTCGAAGACTCTGGCTTTAGACACCAGGGACCGCAAAGACAAGTAGGAGGGCTAAAACAACGCTGCATGAGACATGTACTACGGCCAAGGATCGGTCTTGAGATTTATGTTGCCGAAACGATCGCCATGTATCACTGAGTTGAAGATTCCTCAGCTCGCACTCTATTCAGCTCAAAAAAGGATTGCCCAGCAAATGGTGGTTAGTATTGAAATAGGGTAGCAGCCCGTATATAACCCCACTAACGCATGGCTGTTGAACCTGTCTTGTCTATTCCTTTATTCCCTGCTAACAGCCAGCAAGTTAACCCTAAACCTCAAACCCCTAGCTGTCCCTGTAAGCCCCCAGTTGTTCCATGTCACTTCCCATTTGCTTTCCACTCCCTAAACTTCTCAGTATTTCAAGCTGAGGGATGAGCGGGCGGGAAGAGCTTGTCATACAGAAACCTGGGTGTCAAGAGCTTGACAGTTGCTGGCAGAATCAAAGATGGCTTGGTAAACAGGCCGGAGCGACTGAAGAACTTGTTCGCTACTGAGGAGCAGCTCCACTACCTCTGCCACTGCATAGCATAGCGCAGGAAACGTCTCAGATATCAGAATTACACATGAACGCACTTCTCTGACTGCCTTGCGTCTGTCGGTGACGGTGAAGTCATCCAGAGTCGGTGCCTGCGCCTGCCGATCCCAATGTGAAAGCTGCCACTGATACAAGAGGCTGTCGTAGCTAACACTGTGCCCCCCGGCTAGTTTTGCAACTTGAGGCGGAAGAGTCTCTGGATAGCCGCGAGGCTTCACCTGCACGCATACAGAGGCTGCACTCACCTGCATTCAGTGGATTCCTGCGTAGACAGCAGCCTCTCCTATGAGAATGCTACCTTACCCGCTAGCTGTGACTCAAAACAAGAGTGGGCAATCGGGCAGCCTCGCCACTGGCACGCAATGCTTTGTTCTGCTCAAGCGCCACTCTTCGGCGCTCTGTAATATCCGCCTTCACCTGTGGCAAGCAGCAAGAGACACTTGCGACTGAAGTCGGTGCGATTTTGCACCAGCACCTTGTCCACACACTCGAGGAAGAAAGCCTCTGCCAAAACGGGCATCATGCAAGCAAGCTTCTGGGTCAGTGCACAAGCGCACCCTGTAAGGAAACCAGCCTCAAGTTCTGATGGATCCGTGAACTGACGGTCCGCGATTGCTCGCATCTGCCAGGCAGACAAAGACTTGCAATTCAACACGTCAGCAGAAATAGCAGCCCAAAAAGAAGCAAAGCAAGATCAACGGTTGAAGTAGCAACAGATGCAGCACCGCAACTTTCAGGAGCTGTGGATAAAGTTGCGGTAGCAGCAGCAACAGCAGCAGCAATTGCGGTAGCAATACTGGCTCTATCAAGGAGCGGAGAATGATGTACTTCTTCAGATCTATGCATGATTGGCGCTCTGATCGATACACTTGCAAGAGACCCATACATTTCATTCGTTGTTGACTGCAACTTGCGCTGGTACCACGGCGACAGCTAATGGTTAAAAAATTACGATGATTGCTGCTGCTGCTGCTGCTGCTGCTGCTGCTGCGCTGACAAGGGCTAGGTCGACGGCGGCGGCGACGAACCACCACCACTGTTAATGATGACATTGTTGGCCACTGATGCCGGCCAAGAGGACGAGGCCGATGAGGAACAGGACCGTGACAAGCATGACTTGCTATAGCAATTCCGATTCCCTTTGATCTTTGCTACTAGTGGCATCCTCGCCTTTGAATGCTCAGGCAGGATGATGCAGGAACGTACAGGCCCTGTGTCCCCACACCAACCCTAAACCCTAAACGCTTTCAGATCAGAAAGCGCATCGGCCTTGGCTGCTTGCTTTTGCTCCTGCTGCAGCTGCTGCTTCAAACGCCTTAGCTTCGTAGGGTTCTGTGAGCCATAGTCTTAACTCCTTAAACGGGGGTTCTACAGAGGATTGCGTTTAGGGTGTAAACTCCTTAACGGGGTTATATGGGGGGATCATATAGATGAGTATTAGAAAGGTTTATTAGGGGCGATAGTAGGGCTTTGGACTATAGCTCATATAGGGATAATGGAACAGAAGATGGAAACTACTGCATTATCATAGGGTATATGTAGTGGTTATAGTAGGAAGGAAGGGAATAGAGTATATAGGGAGTATATAGGGATTATACAGGGATCATACTCCCTTACTCCCTACGTAAAACAAGAACGTAGGCTGGGCGTGAAACAGGAAACAGAACAATGAGACGGGGATCTGCGGAAGTCTACTGTACAAATGCAAGGGATCATGAAAAGATCCGGAGTGTTCATCAGGTAAGATCGCACAGTTGACGGGCTTTCCAAAGTTGAGCAGCCCCATCACAATCCAGAACGATGCCCCTGTATGTATAGGGATGCCTACACTCTACATTCTGAACCCTACACCCTAGACGCTGAACCTTAAACCATAACATAATAATAAAGTCTAAATTAAAGCTCAAACCTCTATCACCATTGGCGGAGCGGGGGTTCCAGCTCAGCGGAGGGCCTGATATTCTATGACTAGACATGGACCTTGCTGCTTCACACACTTATCTGATGGGATTCCTGTTCTAAGGGCCGAAAGACGTAGCCCTAACTGCAAAATCCGTCCCTCTGGCATTCAGGCTGCGGCTTCACAGTTGTTTGATACTTCTCCTCCAGCTCCTCACTAGAGAGCACGCACTGCATACTTCTGATCTCGAGAAATGAAATATGAAAGGAGCTGAAATAGGGGCACGGCCTCAGCCTACTACCACGAATGATAGAAATTTGCGGGTAAACCTTAAACCTTTAACCCTAAACCTTACAATCACCAAAACTGCAAGCTGCTTCACAGCAACGAGGTAATTACAATGTGCTTAGGGGGGTTTAGGGTTTAGGGTCCAAGGGATTGAGTAAACTAGTAATCTCCAATTGGACCCACCCCCCTTTAGGACATTGTAAGGTATTTGGAGGATCAGGTGGACTTAGTAATGCTTATAACCCCATACGGCATATAGTAACCCGCATTATCCCCATTATTCACCCACGAGTACGGACTATGTCCCCCTGACCCTCCAAGTAATATCTACAAAATATAGTCCTCCTTAAGTAGATAGAATATGGGGTATATGGGGATCTTACTATAATATATACCCAAAGCCATGTTCTATCTACTTAAAGGAGACTATACAACCTTTTGCAAAACACCCAACTCGGCAGCTTCAGTCGCGGCAGTCCTGTGAGAGGCCATTGAAGGTAGGACCTCGTAGGATGGGTCTTCAACAGATTCGAAGTGATCCTCCCCACCCAAGTAACAACGGCAGTAGTGATGATCAATGGTTGTTCTCAATTAACTTCATGAAGTGCAGGACTTACAGGCTAAATGAGCCAGCTTTGTTTTTTGGTGGGAGATTATTTCATGGGCGCCACTACCACCAGCCCGCCCCGGGTTCCCCCTTATAGAGTTAGACTTCGTAAGCCCTGGTTGATTATCCCTAGATGACCCTCACCAAGGGGGAACCTTGGAGGAAGTTGTGTAGGTGAGGGTGGTGGGGGACCCCAGAAGGGTTGTACTACTCTGTGCAAGGCGACCCTGAAAAGTCTGGCCTTGGATGGTCTCGGCATCTAGCGGTATGTCCTGCAGGAGGTAGCATATTGGGGCTTTCCACAGAAAGACGCCTCATACCCAGCAAGCCCACACTGCCTCACATCACAGATGACTCCTATGAGTTCGAAAAGGCTGGTAATATGGCTGAGACGATCAGCAGATGGTGCTGTAGCGGGCCCAAATACTTAGACTAGGCCTTGGGGATATGAGGGCTTCCCACAATCAGCGGTGCCCTTTTAACGGGTCGCTATAATAAGGATTCTAGTATTTTGAGGTCCCCCCATTTAGGGAAACTAGCATATTCTGGCCTACTAGAACGGTCTAGATTGCCCGAGATGGGCTCATGTAAGGATTCCCAAGACTATGTCTTTTGGCCTGATGCTCCCAAAATCGCCTCGCCCCTAGCATGACGGCCCAAAGAAGGAAAAATGTCTCCAGAAACCTTTCGGAAGGTATACACTATGTGCCCTGCAACTCCCTTGTGTGCAAGTTGCGACACTCTATCCCAAAAAACATGTAAGCCCAGGGTCAAGTCTGTTCTTCCATGTTATCTTCCATCTGATTCTCCGTTGTTGGGGGAATATCCCTAAACCTTGTAACATGTATATCATATAGTAATTAGATATGCCCCTACACTATCCCTACAGTCATCCCTATACCCCCTAAACCCTAAAGGCCCTAAACCCCCCAAACCCCTTAAACCCTAAACTTGTAAACCCCCTGAACCCTAAGCCCTAAACCCCAAACCTCCCAAACCCCCTAAAGCCTAAAACCCCCTGAACCCGAAGCCCTAAACCCCCTACACCCTAAACCCGCCAGTCCTGGGGTTTGGCAGTCTGCTGCCTTGGCAACACCGCAGCTGGGGCCAGTTTGGAACTCAGGGGGTCAAGGGTTTAGGGGGGTTCAGGGGGTTCAGGGGGTTCAGGGGGTTCAGGGGGTTTAGGGGGTTTAGGGGGTTTAGGGGGTTTAGGGGTTAAAGGTTTAGACCTTGAGGGCTGGGGAAGCAGAACACATGCCTGCAATTCTTGTCAACCGCATGTTTTGAATATTTTCCTTAGGTTGCAGAACATTCTAGGGGCTATCGTGATCATAAGGAGCAATGTCATGCATGCGGCTCTCAAATCCGAAGCTCCCCTGATTCTCGAAGCCACCACCAGGCCCAGATGAACTAAAGTCTAACTAAACTCCTAATTAAAAGGGGTTATATGGAGGATTCTATAGGGGAGTATTCTAGGGGTTATTAAGGTGGATACTAGGAATTTAGACTATAGTGCAGGGGGAACCCACATGGTCCGTGGCTGATAGCCACCACTAAGCTTCTCATGTGGAAGAATGCAGATTCACTGGCCTCCGCTGAACTTGGAGGATTCATCGTGCTTAGGTCCAGCAAAACTCCGGTAAAAGTGACCGTTTCTTGTAATGTCTGCTCTTGTCTCTCGAGGCCTGTCTAGTGTCTTGTAAATAAATCACCACCTATGCTTCAACTGCTTCCTTGTTTGGTATGCAGGCCTTAAAAGATCTTGTGAAAACACATGAGCCACTGTCTAAACTCCTAGTATCCCCGTTAATATCCCATATAGTAGTCCCCTATATAACCCCTTCTATAGCCCCCTTTAGGGAGTTTAGACTATGGCTCACATCGGTAGCAGCTTTGGGTTTGTTTAGTTGCCTTTTAGCCACCAGGTCTACAGACAGCCCTGGAAGAGCAAGCACCTGAAAGCTCGCGAGGAGGCAATTGCCACAAGCCGGAGCAGGGGCAGTTGCCAGAACCCTAAAGGTCCCCAATTACCTAATAGTTGGGTACTTGGGATTTGGGTACTAAACCCTAAAGACCAGAATAAATAGAAATTACATAGGCAGTGCCGTGTTCCCCAGAACCCTGGACCCGGAAAGCAGCCATCATCTTGCAATTTTCAAACTTATGTTAAGCATGTTTTGCTGTTGAGAACCCTGTTGTACGACAAATGTGCGATCCTTCCAAAAGGTCTTCAGTGCTGCATATGAACTGCACATATCGATATACGGCACGCTCCCCTCTTTCTCCTTCTACTTTTTTCCCGAAATCAGCTCCGTTCCTTGGCGCTCCTCTTGTGAACCAGCTCCGTTCCCTCGCCGTGCTTCTCTTGTGAGCCAGCCCCGTTCCCTCCCTCCTCTTTTGAACAAGCCCCGTTCCCTCTGGCTTCTCTTGATGCCGCCCCGTTCCTTCCGGCTTCTCTCGTGAACTAGCCCCACAAAGCAAAAGCCCAAACTCGCTCAAAACTCCGCACAACGCTCTGGACATGAACCCTACACAATTTCTATAAACCCTTATGACCAACAGGCAGATTCCCATGACAAGCTTAGTCTCTGGCTGCTGACCGTCCTCTGCTGAGACCAAAGCCGCATATGCTGAGCTCTGTGCCTGAGTAACGGGAGGAGAGATTGACAAAAAACCGTCCGCCGCAAAGTTTGCTGGTGAATTTGGTCCCCACGGTTTGAGATATTCGCAAAGAAACATTGAGCCTCAAAACTACTAATATCTAATCAGTCTGATCACAGGTCTACTCCAAAAACTAGGATCCCTTCACATATCCCTGTTAGAAGGGGCTTCCCAGGGCAGGAGGCTACGGCTTTTCAAGGTATTCCCTCATCTGACCCATGGTCTTCCTTTCATGTATGGTCCCCCCAATGAAACACTAAACCCTAAACCCTAATCCCTGAACCCTAATCCCTAATCAGGGGGCCATAATAAAGCCTTGCCTTGCATACAGGCAGCCGATGGTGTCTGAGACAACAATCATAACCCTAAACCCTCCAAAGACAAGCATTTTTTCGTGACCTTTGCGGAAAAGCCAGGAGATGGGCTCCTCAGCATGTTCCATGTGGTCCCATCATAAGCTATGCTTATGTTCACTCTGCTGGCTTTGCATCACAAGACGTTGTACACAAGATTTGCTCTATGAGCATGGCAGAACTTGCTCAAATGGTGCTTCAGATCGGCTAAGGTCCTTCTCGGAATAGCCTGTCTGCAACAAAAGCTCTATACAACAGGAAACGTGAGCCTCCGTGGCAGGCATCTAGTTTTTCAAATTATCTGCCACTTGTGCAGCAGGTTAGAACAAAATATCGTGGCTTGCCGCACAGGGGTGCTGCTGCGTCCTCGAGCTGTTGCTTGCGCAGCAAGAACTCCAGGACACATGTGGAGATGTATTGAGGACGGTGGCTTAACTCTGTGGGCCTGGTAGCTATCACACTTCCTTGCCATCTTTCAAAAAATCTCCATGTCCCTCCGTGCGTGTTAACTGCTACAGCCCCGGCATCTGTGCAACGCTCTGGTCGCGGTTGCCAGACGCTTGGAAATTATTCCAGCACTGTGCGTTTGGGTCACGCGCTGCGAAGCCCACAGCTACTTTGAAAGTCCGATCAGGCAACATACTAAGCGCCATTCTAAAGCCGAAGCATTCAAAGCGCCGCATGCGTCGGGTCTTCAGGCCTCTCCTCTGAATGCTCGATGTCCGAGTCTCTCCTCCAGCTTCAGCCATTCAACAACAACCCACAACAATCATCGACAGCCAACAACTAACTGCACCAAAAGCACTAAGAACACCACCTGCACCAGCCATGGCACCACACCCCCCCACCTCAAACACCGACAACAACTCACTTCAACAACAAGGAGCTCTACTGATTGGTGCAATTGTTTTTGCCTCTGCTGCTACTACCAAGGCTGCAAACACCAAGCAAGCACCAATATGAAATTCCCAAACGCACCAATATCCTACGCGCCACGGGCGCCTCCTACAAGTAGTAGCAGCAGCAGCAGCAGCAGCAGCAGCAGCAGCCGCAGCAGGAGTAGCAGAAGCAGCAGCAGGACCCGCGTGTCGTTTCCGACCGTGTCTCATCTGCCGCATGTTCTTGCACAAGTCGTATATTTAATGGTGAAGTGCACATTTTCTGATTTCTCGGTCGCGCTTGTGATTGTGGGGTTCAGAACTTTTCTCCATCTGGCATTTGCGCATTTTAGCCTAACACTTTGTCAACACCCGAATGCTCCTTGAGCAACTAGATGCTCATTGCTTGTATTCTGGCATCTGAACGACCCAGATGTTAAGACCTGCGATGGTCAGTAACAGTAGTAATGTATCCATTTCAATGCGACAAGATAGCAAAGGTGTTAATATCCATGATACGAGTAGTACTGCATCTGTTCCCCGCGTTCAGAAAAACCAACGTGGTTATATCCGTGTTAGTACTTGTTCGATGAGTTTCTGCCTGGAGGAATTGATGCTGAAACATGCTGAAACCACCATTTGAAAACTTAAAACCAAGCATTCCACGCTCGTGAAATGTCCCATAATATTCTTCGGACATCGTCATTCTGATTCCAAAAAAAATGGCTCGCTCACGCTCATCAAAACTGAATGACGAACGCCTCGCGGCCTGATTTGCGCTGGAGGCTAACAATAAGAATCAGGATGACAAGTGTGAAATGCGTGGAAACGTCTCAAAACCTTGCAATAGATCATACCTTCTCCTGCGATATCCGCATCGTCTCGCAGGAGACTCTTCTCTTCAGGGCCCAAAAGCACTCGCAGTACAGAATTGTGAACATGAACATTGATCTCGAGACACCGACACGGGGCTTGAGATGGCTACCCCAGACTTCCAAAATAGTCGCAGCTGCCGCCGCCGTCGTTATCGTCGTCGTTCTACTCCTAATTACTCTTCCCCTGTCTATCAAGCAGCCGTGTAGTGCACTACCACTACTACCACAAGCATAGTACCACTAGCATCACTACCATTACCACCGTTACTACCAATACCGCCCACACCACCACCACCGCAGGCACGACCACAACCAACTCGCCCCATCCTCCGCACCCTCACCGTGCATCACCCCGACGCCACCACCGTCAGCAGCTACCACCGCCATCACTACAACTATCACACGGCATGCTGCTGCTCCTCCTGCTGCTACTCTACTCGTAGATACTCCTACTCCTAGTCCGTCTTCTATCACCACCACCACCACCACCACCACAACAACAACAACAACTACTACTACTACTACTGCTACTACTACTACTACTACTACCACTACTACTACTCCTCCTCCTCCTCGTACGACGACGACGTCCGACGACGAGGAGGACGATGATAGCTTCATGCAGTAGAACCAGAGCAGCAAACAAAGAATACATAACCCCTATATAACCCCAATATACTATAGTAGCTTCCATTCTCTTTTCCATTACCCCAATATAAACCCAATATAACCCATACATAACACCAGTTTCCATTTCATTTTCCATTTGATTCTCCATTATTGTAGCTTGCATTCTCTTTTCCGTTATCCCTTTATATAACCCCCTTTATAGAACCTGCCTCGCACACGCAGATCTTATAACTGGGAATATAACCCGGAAACTAGGGAATATGTAGGGATTAATGGAAAAGAAAATGGAAACCCTAGGTCCCTTTAAAGGGATATATATGGTAGTATAGGGGATTATATAGGGGTTTATATTGGGATAATGGAAAAGAAAATGGAAGCTACAATAATGCAGAATCAAATGGAAAAGAAAATGGAAAATGAAATGGAAACTGCTATATATATATAGGGTTATGTGGGGGATTATAAGTACGATAACCTTACTTATAATTGGGGTAACCCCTATAAGCCCATTTAGGGGGATTATAAGTAGGGTTATAAGCCCAATTATAAGTAGCTACTAAGTCCCATGGGCCTGCAAGTAGAGCTGTGTTTGCTGTGCTTGCTCACCTGTCGGCTCAGCGTGGCCGTGTACTGCAGCATCTGGATCGGCTGCCCACCTGGCAGGCTGAAGTGATTCTGCTGGGGTGCTGTTAAGGAACTTAAATTAAGGGATTATCCCCCTATAATGGAGAATCAACTGGAAAAGAAAATGGAAAATGAAATGGAAACTGGGGGAATATAGGGAGTTAAGGAAATTAAATTAAGTTACCATAATGGGTATATATAGTAAATAATCGGGTTTCCCCAATACAGTAATTAATTCAAGTTCCTTAACAGCAACCCAGTTATGCTGTGTGCAGTTGGTGATCCTGGCTTTATGACTTAGAAGCCAAGCTGTGACTATGGCCTGATGAGCTGGCGCTGGCTGCCTCGGGCTCGTGAATATCATCCTCTGTGTGTTTCTGATACCAGCTGCTTTTGGCGTAGTCGCCTCGTTGACGCACACTTCAGCGTGCACATGACATGCTTTCAACATCCGCTAGGTCACATGGAGCTTCCAACAACTGCACGCACTGTTTGGGCTCCTACGCCAAGGCTTACAACTCTCGGGTTTAAAACGCATATATATATATGTATGAGAGTCTGCGAGTGAGAGAGAGAGAGAGAGAGAGAACGACCAGCTTCTCAGAAGTACCCACATCGCTGAGGCCCAAGCTTGCCATGAAGGCGTCCAAAGCTTTCCCGCTCTTGATCGCTTCGCAGGGATCGTAGCGGCGCGCGTAGCAAATAAGGGACATCATGATGACGCCCAAGCCAATAGAAACCCAGAGGGCTGTGGCATCCATGGGATAAGGAAACCAAAATGTATTCATGAAGAGCTGGTTCCAAGGCCACATGAAGATGGCTTGAGTCAGGCGGTAGAGAAAGGATTTCGAAGTCTGGAAAGTTCCCTGGACATCTGCAGGAACAAGCTTTGCCATCAAATCAGGCGTGAAGCCGTTGAGAGCAAAAGAAGGTCCTCCAAGCAAAGGCCAAATCACATAGACCAGGTATCCCTGGTCAGCCGGAATCAGGCCGCAGGCCACTCCGTAGACTAGCGAGATGACCTTGGATGCTGGCAGAACCCTAAAACCTAAACCCTAAACAGTAGTTTCCATGTTATTTTCCATTGTCGCAATATAACTCCAATAGAACCCTATTGTAACCCCAATATAACCCCTATATAACCCCTATAGCCCATGCTACAGTCATCGCTGCCGGTGACTGTGAAAGGCGCCTGCGCACTCCACAAGTCATGACCGTACTGGGCCTTCGTAGGGAATAAGGGACCATATTTTAGGGTTTAGTGGGTACATTGGGATTATATTCCAGTACTTTCTACTAAGCATAAGTAAGTAGCTGTCATAGCAGCTCAATCAAACGGCAGATCACGTGACACTTCGAAAGCTCAAATCATTCAGGCTATATCCTGTACATGGGTCTTCCCATGAGGGATCCCACCAACAACATTCAGCGCGTACCCCCAAATGTTGAGCAACCCCCACATCTTCAGGCTTTAGCCCGGGACAAAAGCAAGATCATTCCCGGTATATGCATGTCAAGCCATGCTTTGGGAATCCTAAGCCGTGTATACCTCTGCCTCTACCCATGCATAACCCTAAACCTTGTACATCCCTGTTGTCAACAACCTGGCGCCCTGTTGGTTACCCTAAATACTACGGGATGTAGAGCACTAGGGGGGCCCAAGAGGGCACTGCAGTTTTGACGTTTTGACAACCTACCATATAACCCCTGTTAGCCCCTTTAGCTGAGTCAGTGGCGATGGCAGGGATCCAAACCCCTCGCATGTCTCCAAAGCAATCCACCAGCTTCGGTACAGCCATGGTAGTCAACCACGTCGCAGTGCCCGCCAGGACTGTGTGCGTCATCATCCTGGGTGGAGGCATCTTAGGGTTTGTTAGGTGTCAAGGAGCCAGTGAAAGAAAGGAGGTCTTGGAAAGCACATTCCAGTACGGACTCTCTTTGGCAAATTGCCTCCTTATCATTTTCCTATCACGATCGTCAAAAATGTCCGGTCAAGAGTAGGGGCAACGAAATGCCCACCGAATTTCCTTGCCACTTTTCCTCAGGGCTTCCAATGTCTCCCTAGCATTCCGAAGTCACCCTGCCTCTTCACTGCTGTGAGGGCTGCGGATGCAACAGGAAGATACACACAGGTACTGAAAGTACGCAACGCCCTCTTTCGACTTCAAAAATAACATGACAGTAGTAGTAGCAGCACTAGTAGTAATAAATGGAAAAAGAACGTTGCCTTATGTGCAATTGCAATGGACAAGTTTAGCTCAGAAGCGTAAAAGTGTCAAACTGGAAGCGCTGGTAGAAGGACATGTACACCGATCCACCTCCTGCAGCAATCCTCAGCTTGCACCACATGAGATTAAAGAGAGCTTTTGGGAGGACGTGACTATAGACCTACCCTGCCCTCATTCAAGCTTCTGATCACTGGCAAAAATTCTGGAGGCTCTCAGCACACATCTATCAATTACTATTTTTACTACTATTTCAAACTACTATCATATATGCCATCAGCAGTTTAGTTGCCGGGGCGGTGGTGATGCTGGGCTGAGAAAGGGAGGCCAAAGGACAGCAGTTTAGGGTTCAGGGTTTAGAGGGTTTAGGGTCATTCGGGTTTAGGGCACCTGGAAACCGTGGGGCTCAGGGGCCAGCAGGGGTTTACATGGGTTTACGGAATGCCTTGCTTGCTGGTTCTTGGAAAATAGTAAGGGAATCTTTAATACCTGTATACTGCATTCCCATATTCCCTACTGTAACCCCAATGCCTACCCTATCATAACGTAGTAGTTTCCATTTTCTTTTCATAGCCCTTCTTCCCTGCTACGCAACAGTAAGCCCTGATTGCAAGCAAGGTGCACATAACCCAAGGTTCGGATGGACATTAGAAGCCGAAGCTCATGAGTGGCAAAGACGCGAAGGTTGTTCCAGGGTTGAATCACCTCGGCTTTGGGTTTAGGGTCTAGGGCTTAGGGTTCAGGGTTTAGTTCAGGGTCTACGCTTCACATTTTCTTACTGATGGTTAGTGGGGAATAGGATATTTATTTTATAAGGTTTATACAGGGATCATATTCCCTTACTCCCTACTAAGAACCAGTACGTTTTGAGAGCAGACATACGCATTATCGGTAAATGTTGTTCGCTGCGATCCTCCAGGTCGTGTAAACAAGCATTTGCTGCTGCCACCTGTCAGTTTGCCATTGCACTGGTCGTGCCTAGAACGAACATCACATCATGATGCCGTGAAGGGGTATAAAACTCCTCATCTCTTCTTGGCGTAGCTGCCAATTACGCTACCGACAACGAGCTCACAGCCAGTATGTCTGCCCATGGCAAGCCGCCCGCCAGTTCTGCATGATCAGCTTTCGAGTGCTGGTGCGCAGCTCGGGCTTGATGGTTTCTGGGAACGCCAGAGCGACCAGAAGCGTGTCGATCGAAAGGACAATAGACCTCGGTACATGCCATCTACACTCAGATTCATAGGCTTAGGTGGCACCCGACGCACATTCAGGGGCAAGGCCCGGATTCAAGATACGAATAAGGCGACCACCCCATCATCATCAGCAGCCTGAGGCTGCCATCAACGGCCCAGGGTCCGTCCCAGCTGAAATGCCCTGGTTGGATGCAATGATGCACTCCGCAATGCTCCTGCTTTGCCAGAAGCAGGGAAAGATCCAATTCCGGACTAGAGGTTCCACAAACCAGTAGGATCAAACAATCAAAGGCAGAGATCAAAAAGCATCAAATTCAGGAATACAAAAAAATCAGGCAACACTCTAACGTGCCAGCCGACATGCGGTTCTCGAGATATCAATCTACATGTGCAACAAAGGGGGAAGCGTTCCAGAAGGTAAGAACACTCTGCGCGAGAGCACGATTGGCAACCCAAAGCACTGTCACGCCCTACGCGAGAGGCCCCAACTCCAGTCTCAAAAGCGAGGACGGTCCAAGCAAGAGCCTGCTTTGAGTCTGCCAACCGTGGGTGTTCCACTCCAAGCGCTGGCTTAATTTTCAGCATGGATGGAAATGAGAACAGACACTTATTCATGGGATCATGTTTACCCAGGACGGGGGGCTTGGAGGGCAGACACCCATGATAAGGGACCATGTACAGGAAGGACAGAGACGTGGGGCCGGGGGGCCCCAGCAGCCAAACTATGAAGCAATACGGCACTTGCAAACCATTGAGGATTATGGCAGTTGCTAACGAAAAATCATCAGACGTTATACAGCTTCATGTTCACTCATGTTCACAAAAGCAGAGGGTTCGGGGGCGCAGCCCATTTGCAAACCAGTGAGGGATGTGGCAATTGCTTCTGGAAACTCATCAGACTTAATACAGGTTCATGTTCAAAAAAGCGGAGGGTTGGGGCTCTCATGGGCTCTCGCTGCGGCGTTGTGCGGCCCCAGCGCCGCCCGGCTGCATCCCAGATCAGAACCAACACGTGGCCATTGGAAACTTGAAAAGTTGTTCTGCGTCGTGCCGTTGCTGTGGCCCAAGACCGAGGCCGTGGGAAGCATTGCAAAGTGCAGAATCGTCTGTGGCAGAGAGAAGCTCAAGCAGCAGGATTGCGTGGCCAGGGTTGACTTTGGTTTCTCTGTAGTAGAACATCTTGATGTTTGATCATGAATTGATTGTTTTGATCTTGATTTGACGGTTTGATCCTGACTTGATTCTTTTAATCCACATCCCCAATCACGCAGCTTGCGCTACGAACTCAGGCCTTGTGAATTGTGTACTCATTTGGCAGGCCGATGCCAACCTCCCCAAGCTTCATCACGGCCATCCTCAGCATGTGGCCCTGTGAAGATGGAGACAAGAAGCGTTGAGCGAAGCAGCCGATAATTATCATCATTACTATTATTAGTATTAACACTATTAAAATTACCATTACGTTTCATACCAGTATTAACAATTACTATCCCTGTTATTACGTACTAGCATTGTTATCAAAACACTACCACCATCATTATTATCATATTACTACCATCATTATTATGACCATGTTTTGACCGTCATCGTTTTTACTATCAGGAATGCTTATTTGTTATTCTCGTTACCGTCATCATCAGCAACATCATTGTTGTTACATGACTATCATTATTCTTATAATTAATATTGTTTTTATCTGTGTGAACACCCCCACTGACTCAGCCCGCCCCGAAACTCGCACGATCCTGCTTCCCAGCAGAAGGTTCTGCTAGATCGAGCTTTCAGAACTGACTCAGGCTGCAGCTTCACTCAAAATGTGGAATACGTGGGCAACACCAGAACAAGGAACGCCACAACAATACCTCCAGTCTGTACGTTATGCTAAGATGTTTTCTACATGTAAATACACATATCCATGTCTAGAGGCACCCCAGAAGCTATCGAAATTATCCGGCCTCCCGCCATTTCCCTATAGTTTAAACTCCTAGTATCCTCCTGAATAACCCCTATGACACTCCCCTGTATAATCCCATAAACCACCCTAAGAGGGTTTAGACTAAAGCTGATTTGCAAGGGCCGTGTGCCATTGAAAGACGGCCAAGGATCCCAACTGCCATGGCGAAAGCGAAACCCATCTGGCCCACAATAGCAAGCCGCGCCTTTTGTTTAGAGTTTAGGGTTTATAGGGTTTACAATACACCCTCAATCCTAGGTTCATGATATAAGAACGACACAGATCGAGGGCATTTCTGGAGGGTCACACGCCATAGGGCTTTTTGGGGGGTTTGAAGCACCCGAACTGGGGGTGGACCTTGCTATAACCACTGGTATCCTGCTTGTATCTCCACTGCTGAATACTGCCCTAATATTGAATACATCGCAGCAGTACTCCTGTTGAGGTATATACAATATACTGGGAATATTTAATATGGGGGGGGTTCAATATTAATACCATGAACCATCAGATCTTTCTCTGGCATGGCTACCAGCGCTATATCCACTACCAATGCCCAACACGGCCAAGGGGTGCCCACTATCAATACCCTTAGCATCATTAATACCCTCAACCCCAAACTCAACACCCCTAAACCCTGAACTCTAAACCCTAAACTCTAAACCCTAACCTCTGAACTACTAAACCTTAAACCTTATACCCTAAACTCTAAACCCTGAACTCTAAACCCTAAACTCTAAACCCTAACCTCTGAACCCTAAACCTTAAACCTTATACCCTAAACTCTAAACCCTGAACTCTAAACCCTAAACTCTAAA